TGTAGCAAGCTGCGAAAGAATAAATACACTGCTTCTCTGTTTCTCTCTGGCTAAATTAAGTAGACAAAAAAAACCCAGGTACAAATCTTTTAAAAAACATCTACTGCTATATTATGGAGAACTATCTTTTGAATGACTTGTTCACTTGATGTTCACAGCAAACCCACTGCTGATCATTACCTCATTTGGTATTGAACTAGATCTCCAACACAGGTGCCCAGGTGGCATCCAGTCACAATTTTAGCTCCTAGTTAAGGAATGCTCAGTACTGTCTTAGTCCAGGTGTGTTCACAATAGTGACACCTGTCTGTTTTGGAGCCAAGGATTAGACAGAACAACCCCAAGCTAAAGGACTGTCAGGTACTTCTAGGTATACAAAGCCCAAAGTAACGTCTCACTTGAGTCCCAGCGGCAGTGCTGCCTACAGCTCCCCAGTTGACTAGTATAAGACAACTTGCCATTTCAGCTGCAGGGAGGACAGCACGACAGACACAGAAGAAGCTGCCATTGCAGCTGATCCCATCCAAGGCTGAAGCACGAGGCCAACAGGCATGAACACACCTAGCAAAAAACCACAGGGATATGAGCCAGAGCTGCATGTTCCAATACAGACATTTCTGCCCCTGCATATCATAGAACAGATCAGCAGTTCTACAACACGACTTGCTGAGACCTCTATAAACACAACTAGATTGATATATATTTACTCACTTATTTTTAAATATGTCCCTTCTGTTGCAAGGAATGACCTTTGCACCAATTCAGCTACAAGAAGGTGGCCACAAGGTGAGACTATCTGTCCCTTCCAGCTATTCTGCACATACGAAACAAAGCAGAAGCAACAGAAAGACAAGGCAATAGTCCAGGGAAAGGAGCAAGAAGTTACTCATAAAGAAAAAGAGGAATGCTTGAAGCAAGTTTTAAGGACAAATTTAGAGCATGAGAAGATGTCTGACAGAAGCAGACAGAACGCAAGTAGTAGGAGAGAAAATGTGTGATTCAGGGTGAATAAAAGAGGGAGCACCCAGGAGTGGGATGGTATCTCTGATTAGAGCTCGGTGTGAATATACTGAAACTAATCCCCAAGTACTGCTATGTGAAATAAGTGCATGGTTTTCATGTCATCATACAAGAATTTATTCCTAAGAGTTTAAAATTTGGGGAACAAAGATTTTTTCCTACAACATGAAAAAAAAAAGAACGAACGTATGTATTTTGTCTTCCTTCTGCCAAGTTTAAAATACTCTAGGAACCTCTCTCTGGTTTCTTGAGCAGAAAATCCTGTAAGTGGCACCACAGAGCTCAACTGTGCTGCTGTCTTCGACAAGCCGAGCTCCGGCAGTGACATACCTGCTGCTATGGGTATTCCAAGCAGATTATAAATTAAGGCAAGAATCAGATTTATTCGTATTCTTCGAACTGTTCTCTTTGATAAGTGAATACTGGCAACTACATCCAGCAAGTCGTTCTGCAAGACAGAAGAGCATTGAAAATTTTCCACATGCAGTCTTCAGAATACCAAACCAAAAAGAGGAGTGTCAGTGATAAAAGAGGACAGGTCAAAACTGTAGTGCTCACTCGGATAAGAACAACATCTGCTGCTTCAATGGCAACATCAGTGCCCGTTCCAATTGCAATTCCAACATCAGCCCTGGCTAGTGCAGGGGAATCATTGACTCCATCACCAACCATCGCAACCTTCCTCCTTCCATTTTGGAGCTCCTGGACCTTTGCAACCTTGTGAGAAGGAAGAACCTCAGCAAAGACTTTTTTGATCCCAACCTATGTACAAAGAAAGAAACACACCAAATTGATGATATGCTTCATGCTGAAAGGAAGAGAGCCATTTGCTGTTCTGGGTAGAGGAAACAAAGGAAGATGAACCAAACTGATTCCGGTGGATGCAACACTTGCAAGCTACACAGAAAGCTGAAGAGCAACACGCCTTTGGCATAAGAAAGGGACTGATTACAGCCCCCTCTATCTTTACTGCAGAGATGCTGGCAAACCATGTTCTGCCCTTAGCGTCATGCCCCACATGGCTTCTGAAGCTCTACTGCCCTGGCAATAAAGGTTTGATGGTTAAAAGAGCCAGTTTTCTGGAGAAGAATTAAAGCATCACACTGAGAAACAAAACAGACCTCACAACATACCACATACAGAATGGGCATAGCACAGTGCTGGCTGAGTTAGCTGTGTGGTGGGATACATGAGAAAAGCAGTGTGGCACACGGTAGATTAGAAATAAGCTGGAAAGGGGAAGAGGGAAATGAAGATGGAGAGGGTGGAAAAGTAGCAACATAGAGTGAGAATTTGGCTTTGCCTTTGGAGCAACATTTATAGTTAGAGATCAAGGAAATCTCATATAAACCCAACCTCTTCTAGGCTGCTATGCTTCTTAACAATAATTCTTATTCTTATTACTATACTACCCTTAAAGATAACGACAAATCCCTACTTCCCTTATTGGGAACATGACTGGACCTTAAAGGAATTTTCCTTCATCACTGACCAAACACAACTGCCTTTCAGTGGAGGGAAGCAGGAGGCTTCAGTTCAGCAACAGACTAATTACTGCAAGAAACTCTGCACCTCTGGAGAAGTACTGACTGCTTGTCTTCAGTGGGATCTTAATGCAGCCACTGACCTTTACTATGCTATAGGACCTGACCTGATTTTCAGTTCAATTCAAGAAAAGTTAGTCTTCATTTAACGGATCCAGGGAAACTCTTGAGTTCCTGCTTCAAATACACTGGGATAAGCAGAGTTTTAGAAACTCATCATGTATTTTTTTGAAACGCAAAGAAGCAGATACCTGAGTAGCAATGGCTTTTGCAGTTTTTCTGTTGTCCCCCGTTATCAGCACCACATCTATTCCCATATTTTTCAGTGTGTGCACAGCAAGGGCTGCCTCCTGCTTGACAGTGTCTGCTATCGCGATCATTCCACACAATAGGCCTGCACAAAGAAACGTCCTCTGTTAGAGACAGTGCTGTGGGAGGCAAAGTGGCAGCAAGAGAACAGGGCTTCCCCTCCATCACACCGTGACAGCTTGTGAAATAACACATTCTGGGCAATATTGACACTCATAAGCCTGAACAACTAACTGTCTACAGTTTTCTAAGTTACGGCCTCTTTCTTACACACATACACACTTTTCTCATTTATCTGCTTCAGATCGAACAACAAACACCTTTGATATTTAGGGATCAGAAGGAAGGGGAGAAAAGGAAGGTAGCTTTTAAACATGCCTGACTTCTAGGTTTTATGGTACAGACAAATACAATAGTGGGCCAGAGAAAGTTTTGGTATTTGTGCCCAGGGCAGATGTTGAAGCCACTCCTCCAGGATGAAGCATATAGAGTATTTGGTTTCATGCCCTCTAGTCTTTCAGGGTTGGATTTCTATTATAAGTAATTATTTTCATACAGAAGGGTTGCACCTGCTTTCCAACACACTGACTCAAAGATGCATCCATGTTTCCTTCATGTGACTTACAAAAATCCCACATTGGTTTATCGTTGCATGTTACCTTTCAAAAGTAAGGCTTTAAGTAGGTTTTGCACCCCTGTATCTCTATTTGCTATCATCACTAGCAGCAACAGGAACACCAGCTGTATGTCAGGGCCATTATTTCCATGCTAAAGGCACTTGATTTTGCTGGACTGCTGATGGAGCCCAGGCTGAGACATGCAAATGACTGTCAAAATTGCTCTCTAGGAGAACCAAGAATATTTATTCAGTAATTGAATCAGAGGCCCCACTTCAAGATCACAGATGCACTGGCAATCTATCACCGTTACAGCAGTTTCTCATATTAAGGTATTGTCTGGGATCTCTTTCTGCGTAGCACAGAACAGGCGGCCTCTGGCAAAACTAATTTAGTCTAATCTATTACACTTGAATGATCTAATGAATCATCATGTTTATTCATGAAATGTTTTGGAATCAGTGATGCAACAGGTTGGCCTGTGATCCTTAAGTGATGTAAAGTCCGGATGGGACATGGCACTGCACTGGCACTGCTTTTCTGAGCAACAGTCCTAGACAACAGGAGGTTCAGAAATTAATGCTTGAATTAAAAACTACCCAACAAAATCTTATAAACACTGTTCTGAGGTGAAAGCTTCTTTTAAGTACACTTTATTACTTTGCAGTTCACAAGCAGTTCTGCACTAAAAGATGAGTAGCTTCTTGACACTAAGCCACTGATCAATTGCTTCAGAGTTTGTTTTTATCCAATTGGTAGGATCAACGGATATTTATTAAGTGACTCCAAAGAACAGCAGTTACCATCTATAGCCACTAGTATGGCAGTCTGTCCTTTTGTTTCATGATCTGTCATTGCATCATTTACGTCATTTGCAATATGCAACCCATTGCGTCGCATCCACTCACGATTTCCAATCAGCACCGAGTATGTGTGAGAAGCTGATGGACCTTTGTGAACAGACAAAAAGAAAAATGAGCAACTCAAAAATAGTGAAGACAAGCCAGAGATGTTTGAGGATTACAAGGTCAGGTTGCATTAGCTATAGAAGGATATTCTGAAGAGGTTTTCCTAAAAAATTTTGTGTGTGTGTTTGTGCTCTGGACTGGCAATGGTCACACTCAAGACACAAACAGAAATAGTCTTGTTGAAGTGCTGCTGTCACGGCCAAACACAAATGCATAGGCACTACCTGAAGACAGCCTCATAAAACTTTTCTCCTTCAAGACTCAATCTGTGCCTTTGCCAGTTGGCATTGTTTTTCTGAATCAGTGCAGTATGCACATTTTGTAAATGTCATGCTGCTTTGTTCTCACAACTAATGATTTCTTTCAAATATAAAGGCTATTTCTGGTAAGAAAAAAGTAGTTTTGTTCTAACAAACAATGAAACAGTGTGTAGAGCACCTCATTATGAATTCAATTCAACTTCACAAGAGTCGTATGAAGCAAGTGAGAAAATATTACATTAACACCATCCACAAATGGCACATCAGTTCTGATGATTAAAGTTCTTATTTTATTTAATTCTTCTAATAGATTTCTCAAAAATGTCAGGAGAGCCACAGCCTTCTGAAGAGAACTGATGAGCTTCTTAAGGAAGTCTTTAAATACCTTTTCTTTCTCTCCTACACTACAAAAGAGGAAAGTGGCTTCCACAGAGCCTGAAATAAAAACAAATGTATTGGCCTAATCAAAACCACCAGGTATTGAAACTTGGTTTGCAGATGTAACACGCTTTATTGTGCATCTGCTGAATAGATTTTTTTTTTTTTAAATTAAGTGTCTTGAGAGATATATGAACAGAAAACAAAAGGTCCAAGTTAATATGAACTAAAGGGTAGGATATAAAAAGTTGCAGTAAGATAACATATGTTAAAGGGAGCTGCTCTAAATGGGAAGATAATGCTAATTGGCAAACTTTTCTCTCTGCTGGACCGTTCTTCTATCCAAAAGGAACATTGCTGGGTATGCCTTATTGCTCAGGTATTGCACGGACTTTTCGAGTAGCCATCACTGTAGCATCTAAATTCTTATTTAGGTTTCTGAATTGCAGAGAGATTGAGAGTCGGGGATAGAGAGAGCTTCAGTTTTTGTTACAGCGCATTTTTGTCCCTTGTGTTCTTTGCCTTTTTCTGCCATAAATCCACCTTTCTGTTGTTCCTAGTCCCATAGGACTGTTTTACAGCGGTCGGCACTGTTGGTTCATTAGCTCTTGCATTGTGACTGGTGATCACTTTGGTGGTAGACGTACCGTACGATTCCGACAGCATGATCAGCGCGTTATCTGCCAGAGGAGCACTGCTGTCCTCGCTCCTGTTAGCGCCCAGCTTATCAAGACCCTCCTCGGCTGTGCCCAGGACAGCCTCAACACCTCCGACTTTGCAGCTGATGCCACATCCTGGGACTGCCTGGAAGTCGGTGCAGTATCCCAGGCTCTGAGTGCCAAGCTCCTGCAGATGTAACCAGAGTTCATCATCAGTCTGTGCTGCCCACATGGGGTACAAATGTTAGATAACTCCTGCTGAAAAGAGGACACATTCCTCTTCTTGACAATGACTGACCGACTAAAAAGCAGCATGGAGTATCAGTAGCACAGAGCTAAAAATAAGGATGTTCTGGATATGCTGTGGTTTAGACTTCTAGAAAGGGGCAGCCATACAGATCACATCCAAGTCTCAGCCTTAGCACCAGCAAACCATAAAGGACAGCTTTTCCTGGTAGTTCAAGGATGAAGCAGTTACATTCGTGGTTCATGACCTCAGCCAAGACTAGGAACTAAAGAGAAATAGTATAACAGTAAGCCATACAGCTTCCAAAAGATGCAACTTCTAATTAACCTCACCTACAACTGGCTGGGGGGGGTCAGGCCTTTTATATCTATGTAAAAGTACAGTGAAACACTGTATCTAATTCCTGGAGTGATCTGGCTGGATGGTAAGGAAACTGGGTCTTCCTGTTGAGCTAGAGAGAGAAGACAGTGAGTACCTTCAAGATGAGAAAAGGGATTACCAGGACCCTATGAGTTACAAAAAGAATGGAGAAAACATTCATTTATAAACATGTTATTCTGTGTTGTCTCTGGAAGTTGGAATTCCATGTACCTTTTAGTGACCTTCTTACAACACGGGGATGATAAGGCAGGTGGTAAGGATATTAGCAAACGGTAGAGCATTGCAATTCATATAAGCCATGATCCACTAACAACTGGTGCATGGGGTGACTACAGAACTGTCAGGGTACTAAGACAAATTTGAGAACAGAAAATGTAAAACATGAGAAAGGCAACCGAATCATTACCCATACTCTCATTTTCCTTCCTTAACATTTATATGTTAACTTCCAAATTTTACCACTGAAAGATCTATCACTAATAAGTTTCATATATTCTTGCCAATGATTTTTTCCATAAATGGATTAATGACTTGTCTTAGCAGAAAGAAATTGTTTATTTAAACCAGGCTTCTTATTTTGGTTACTATTTGTGCTTTCATTCTTCCTGAAACACTTGAAGAAAAAATGCAATACATAAATGACCTTTGAGGATTTGCAAAGTTTGCAATGACTTGAGTAATCTATTAATTCATTTGTGAAACTCTCAAATATCACAGTTCAATATTCAGGTTTTAAAGGGTTTTACCTAATCTATTCAGATAAGCAAGTGACTAACAGAAGTGACTACAGTCAGGTAACATATGAAATGTCACTACATACATTTGCTTCACGATGCTATTTTAAGCATAAGTATTCCTCCCGCACATATTCCACAATCGTTACTTTTCCACTAGTTCAGGAAAAAACCTTTGTAAGATCTTGCTTGAGAACTCCAGAGCATTACCAGAAAAGCAAAGCTTAGAATATGCCTTCTGGTATTGTCCAGACTAAGATGCACAATCATAAAATCTCCCAGCTTTCCAGCCTGTTAGTTTTCAGGCAGGCTTGTCCCTCTGGGACTTGCTCATTTTATACATTGCTGCATTTGCACAGATCGCTTCAGGCCTTAGATGAAATAGGAAGGCTAAGTACCTCTTTGCAATATTTAGTGACTGCCACTCCTAAAGGATGCTCGCTACTGGCTTCTGCAGTGCCAACCACCACCAGCACCTTCTTCAGAGGGAGCACAGCTGTGTCTCCCAGCAAAAGCACCCTCATGACTTTAGGAACTCCACAGGTGATGGTCCCAGTTTTATCAAACATCACAGTCTTGATCTGCAAGAAATAAACCAGAGTTACTGCCTAAGCCCTGTGAGCACAGGGATGCTCGTGTGCTTTAGGCACATAAATAAATACAGGCAAGACCTTACTAATCAGTTGACTATATCCACACCAAGACAGAATAAACCTACAAAAGTAAGGATTCCTGTATGTACCTTGAACTATCTCTACAGTAGGTGTCCTTATGATTTCTTATTCATTCCTCATACAGTGATTTCACTGAAGCTACAACATCATCCTGTACCTATATCAGGATCTCAGACAACAGAGTCATTGCAAGATTTGTGCTGTCCTGTGTGTGTCCGTGTATGTATTGACATGCAGGATTCGCGTAATGGCACCTTAATCACCTTTACTACAAGGTTTATGATGCAAGGAGGGCTTTTACAAATGCTGTTCTAAACAATTAACAATAGCGCTGAGGAAAGAGGACTCAGGAAGTTACTTGGTGATAGAGCAGGTGGGAAGAGTGCAAGAAGATGCAACAAGTTCCAGAAACAACAACCTAACTAAAACCAACCTCATGCTATTTATCAAATTCAGCAATCACTTGTCAGCCAGCCCAATAGGTCTTGAGGAATTGGAAATGAACCAAAAAAATACAGCCCCACATACACTGAAACTCAAAGCTAAAGTCAATTCTAGTCCTGAAAATAAACACAGCACAGAGAAACACAAGAACCAAAAAAAAAAAAATCAAAAAAGTAAGCACTATTTCCATTCCCAGCTGTTCCAACCCACTAAGCTTACAGAATCCAACAGGTCACCTAATTTTCCAAGGCCTGACCCTAGCCTCGCTTAGATTCAAAACGTAAAATGTCCTGACACTAATTAGCAGTCATTTTGGGGGTTTTTTATTGCAGAGCTTTGGAAAAACTTCTGGTCTATGCTTTATAATGTCCAGTAAGAACAAGAATTATCAGTCTGATTAATTTATTCTTACCATCCTTTTCATGTTAAATGTTCTGCGTATGTCTAATTCAGTCTACCATTGCATGGTTTAAACTCATATTCTTTTCACTGGCTGTGGACATGTCAGACCTCTTCCTCCTTCAATCTCCTCCTCCTCTTTTCATCAGTTTTCTGTCTTTGAAGGGCTTTTTCTGCCTCCCTTCCATCTTTTTTCTATAGACTCAAACAACTTCAAATCATTCTGTTTTTCTCTTAGATCCTACATTTTAAACTACTGATCATGAACAACATACACTTCACAACAACCCTCTGAGGAAAGAAAGAAAACACTGGATTACTGGGTTCTTTTGCAGAAGAGGTAGAGAGAGTGCAAAAGTCAGAAACCTCTGAGGTCATGCAGATTAGCAGCCTCACTGGCATGAGATTGCAGGAACTGTTGGCTCTCAACACTTTGCTGTGACTGCTTTGAAGAAAAAAGGTCAGAGCTGTCTTCTCTACCTTAATGGGCAGTAACCAATAGAAAAAAAAAACCAACCCAAAACAAAACCAAACAACATTCTGCAGTCTTTCTGTGGACCAGGAGGATTTCCTGGGAAATTATACTTCATGTAGCAACAGCTGGGTAAGCTACAAAAGTACAGAATGAACTATTAACCTTGTGTGCCATTTCCAGGGGTTTTCCGCCTTTGATGAGAATACCATTCTGCGCAGCAACTCCTGTGCCCACCATCACAGCTGTGGGGGTAGCCAAGCCTAAAGAACAGGGGCATGCAATGCTCAGCACGGTGATAGAGGTTTGAAATGCAAACCTCAGTATTAGTTCAGCTTTTGAAACATGTTTGTTCTGATTCTGCAAGAAAAAAGAAGAAAGGAAAAAAAAGAAAGAGATGTATGGTTGCTAATAGAACATAACATAGATGTACAATCAATCATAGTCATTTGAAAAAACACATTTACCTGGAAACTTCCAGTATAGGAAAGCAATCTATTATTGTTAATGTAATGGTAGAGAAAGGTCAGTGTTATGAATCGTTTATGGCAGTATTTTCTGGATTTTTTGCTGCTCAAGCACACATATGCTTGACTCTGATCTCAGGCTCCCAGATGACAACATAACTTGTGGGCATTTCCTTTATAGCTTAGCAAAGAACCTTATTTCCAGGTACAGAGATCCCCACAGTTGTTGAGCATAGCAAATACACATCCTAAAGATAACAGAAGCTCATCTTCTTTCTAAAGCCAAAACCACTATCTGCCATCAAGACCAAGGATGCCGGAAAAAGTTGCAGGCATGATAGGAATGGTTCAGCTCCTTGCAACGCAGCTATAGATCACATTTAGTCCAGAAAGACTGCCAATAATTTCAGTTTGTAGAAACTCCATGCAGAACTAAGGGGTAAATGCAAAGGTATATTTATACCTGCAGACAGATTTTAATTAGTGTAATTATCTGCTCTATGTAGAAAACACCACATTGTACAAAAGGATTTGCCAGGCTGCAACATCAAACCCTACACACAGAAGGTACGTTAATTACACTGAAAGGCATCCTAACACCAAAATCCAGCTCTTAATGAAATTACTTACAGGAAAATATTTTTCAATAACATCAAAATTTATAAAACCAATTGTGATCCATACTATCAATGTCACTGTTGAAATGATGATGATAAATGGAACAAAATATCCACTAAACTTATCTGCCAGTTGCTGGATGGGCGCCTATAAAAAAGAAAAACAGGTGTTTGCATGTTTATGGTCAAAATATAAATATGCAGAGTTCATGAAAATATCTAATATATCTAATTCTTTTTTGAAATCTGGAAAAACACACAGCTTGCTGAACAAGTAAATGTATCAAAATACAGAATATTTTTCTTATTGAAGTAAAATCTGTGAATAAGGTTTTCTTTGCTGTTACTTTTACCTTTGACATTTGAGCTTCTTCCACCAGTTTCACAATTTGTGCCAGAGTGGTATCGTTACCAACATGAGTTGCATTAACAAGAACTGAGCCATGTGCATTTATAGAACCAGCAATCACTGTGCTCCCAGGCTTTTTAGTGACTGGCATAGCTTCCCCTAGAAAGAAAAGGTAAGAATAAATGAGCCAATACCCCTAATAACAGTGAACATGGTCCATTAGCGCACAGCTCATTGTATGCTGGCAAAATCAGTATGCTAAGCAATAATGACCAGATATCACATATTGTATAATTCTGTCTAGTGAAGACATGTATAAGTGGTGTCATCCTCCTATAAACCTTTCTCTAGGTTTAGTTTCAAAGCAAATGCTGTCTCCTTGGTCCTAACTCTCCAGTATGCCATCCCTCAAAAGGGCAAGGAGCAAATTGGTTGTAAAAGGAACTTCTAGGAATTTCTCCGATTAACACTTTGCATAGCCATGGGAGTTTGAGCAATTTCTCTTTATTTCCACTACCCGCAGTTTCCAAGGAATAGAAAAGTTGTCTCTGTGGCAAAGCTCCTGTTCTCACACTGCGTCTCATACAGTCATAGAATGGTTTGGTTGGAAGGGAC